ATATATATATAACAATATTAAATATATCTTATAAATTAAACAACATCATAACTTTTTTTTTTAAGCAAACAACATCATAACTTAGAAACTTAGAAGAAGACAAATATTTTGTTTTTCATTAAATTTCTTAATATGACTACTATCGTTTACTATTATATTTTCAAGTTTCTAGTACAGAGAAAAATTGAGTTTGCATTGATTTAAAATGGAAAATACTCTAACCCCTATTTTCTGAAAATGCAGATTAAAATACAAATATTTAATATTCTAACCCCTATTTAAATCTTACCTACTATTTATATCCATTACACATTATGAAAATAATAACCATACAAATATTTTAATAATGTAAGATGCTTTTTTAGTTTATATTAAATTAAATAATGATAATACCACATTATTTTGAATACAAATGTTTATTATATTATGTAAAAAAAAAACTTTATCATGACTGAGTGAAATTTACATAAACAAATGATAGAATGAGTTATGTAGCTAGGAGTTTCTCAAAATTAATGTAACGAAAATTTATGAATAAATAAAAAAGTATTATCAGCATTTATTTTATTTGTTATTTGTTACAAGTGATCCTAGTTGGTTGAAAGCGAGGGCAGTGTTGTTCGCTATGGCATTCTGTTCAACGCCGTCGTTTCCGAGCCGTTTCTCGTTTCGCAATCCAAAGCTGCAACCTCTCTTCTCAATGTCGTCACTGTCTTCGAAGCTACCGGTGCACTTTTCCGGCAATGCCAGATTCAACCGCAACCATGTCCACCACAACCCAAGTGTTCTCAAAATTCGTGCCACGAACTCAAACTCAAACTCAACGTCTTCATCGCGCAGTGGCACCAACTACGTCTTATTGAGCTCCGCTATCACCGTCACAACGGCGGTAGCTAATCGCGTGCTTTACAAGCTAGCTCTTGTTCCTATGCGAGATTACCCTTTTTTTCTCGCTCAGTTCATAACTTTTGGGTAAAACTCTTTGATCGGCTTGTTGCCACTTGGAATCGCATTTATTTGTTGTTTTCGCTCTTGGAGAATTATTTGTTTGTTTGTTTACTTACTTTTTTTGGGGATTTTTTGAGCGCGTTGAAATAATTGTGTTGTGGTTTTGTGTGACGTAGGTATGTTGTTATATATTTCTCTATCTTGTATATGCGATACCGGGCGAGAATTGTTACCGATGAGATGCTGGCGATTCCGAAATTACGTTTTGTAGCCATTGGGTTTCTAGAAGCTTTGGGATTGGTTACCGGAATGTCTGCCGGAGGTACTGACTGTTATCTTGTTTTTTCTTTTCTGTTCTCTTTTTCGACCGTTTTATATTCTTAATATTCAGTACTTTTTTTTTAAGTAATTAAAAGCATTTAATAAATAATAGTGTGTGTTAAATGTTCCTTAGCTAGTGTCCCGACAGCACTCTGGATAGTGGTGAGAATTGGAATAGTATGGACAAAATCTTAGGTTGGAATTTTGTTATTGTCTTTGTAATATTTTCTACCGTTAAAAATAAAAAGGAGCACTCCTGGATAGTACCTAATCTCTGATTAAGATGAGGGCAAGGTTTTAAATTGTGTTCGCAGTTATGTTGTTAACCTTAATGTTCCTAGAATGGAAATAAAAAGGGATGTCGCAACTCACTATTGCGGTCATGGTGACTCCAAATCTTCAATAACTGTCACTGAGGCCAAAATCGCGGTTGCGCACCGTTTTTAAAAACCATTGTTGAGGGTGCACATGTTGACATATAATATTCCGTGGTAACATATCCCATTGGACTTGTGTTAATATTGTGTATCCAAGTCAATAATATATTGGGTTTTATAGTGTTAAATGCTACAAAGCTATGTCAGTTGTTATTAAATGTCAACAAGGAATAAGTGGCTTGTTTTTCTGTTGTACACAAAATAACCATCAATTTTGAAAAGTGTGAAATGAGAAATGCTTATAGAGGAAAAAAACAAAAGCAGAGGCTGTCATTTGTGTGATGTCTAGTACCCTGAAAGTGAGTTTCCATTTCCACCCTCTACCAAGCTACAATGAATGAAAATCAAAATCTTTCCATTTCACTCTGCTCTCAATTTTCCACCAAGCATACCCTAAGTGTTTGCTTTTGGTGTTTCTAAACTGAATGTTCATTACCTTCTGCAGCCGTACTTCCTGGACCAGTCATACCCATATTGAATCAGGTATCTTAAATATTTTGAACAGCCCTTGTTATCAGAGGACAGGTGACAAACAAGAAATACGAGTTTGTCTTTATTTTAAGCAATATACATCTGCCCTTTAATTTTATACATCTGTGAAGTTTACTTTATTTTTAGTTTCTCATTTGTCATACATATGGTTAGGTCTTATGAGAAAATCTGCTTTAATTTTACATGATGTGGATGCCATGCTATACAGCAGTGCTTTTGAGAACTTAATTGAAATGTTGTGGCTTTGACTGAGTTTAGTGAGTGGTCTATAAGCAGCATGATGGTTTTTATAATATATTAAGGAATTCGCGACTTTGTAGCATTGATTTAATATAAACCAGCTAATTTATTGGCAATGACAATAAATCAGAATTTTGATTTTTATCAACTTCTAGCATTATAGAAACTAAGCCTAATTTCGCTTCTCTCTACTCCCCAAAGGTGTTATAAAACTTGTCATTCTCATTTTTTTTCCTTCAAATATACTTTGACACAACTAAGCATCATTCCAATTTATTTTTTCAAGGACATTGTAGTCCATGCTTGTTTACAGATTGAGTCTGGTCTGTTTCTCACTATGATGGCAGCATACCTAAGCCATTTCATTGTCATATTTATAGTAGGATGTAGCAGTCACTCCTAAAGTACAGGAGGCTTGTTATTTCAGAACATATTCAGTATATCATGTCTGCATTTATGTTTTTTGCTGTTAGCCCGTCCTTTTATTCCAACTAAGAATGAAGAAAATGACAGTATTGCTGTAAACTATGTAACACCTTCTCTCATTCATGACATTGCTATTCATGACTTGAGCATTTGCAGAAAACTGTATTATTACTGATGTTATTAGCATGTAGTGAATTTAGTGATATGATCTTCATGATAGTATTATTAGATACTACAAACATCTGTATTTTTTTAATATTTTACATTTTACACAAACTTTGTTGTCATTATCAGTACTGGTAAAGCATCTCTAAATGGTGGCAATAAGTGAAATTGATTGAGAAAATTGCATTGCTTTGTAATTCAAGGTACTAAATGGCAAAAATCTCCCTGCAGATCTCGGCCAATTGAATCCTGACATTTTAATGGAATGACACTGACCACAGCTTATTATATGCATAATCATAGTAGTGTTTTTGTTGGTCAGTGTGCTAGTTGTTTTAATGCATCAGTATATGTATTCTCCAAATACTGTTTTATGATTTTTTTTTTTTTTTTGCAGACATTTTTGGTTTGGCAGCTAATGTTTTCTACCCTTCTCTTGAGAAGAACGTACTCAATCAATCAATTGGTTGGATGCTTACTTGTAGCTGTTGGTGTTGTGGTGGCTATTGCAAGGTAATTTGACTTTATTGCAGGGATAAATACAGTATTCTTCATATTCAGTTTCTCATGTTGAGTTCACTAATTAGGTCGGATGACTATGTGAATCAAGTATTCCCAAAAATGTGTAGTGAATTAGCTTTGACAAAAGATATTGACTAGAAAATACCAGACTTAACTTCTAATCTCCCTTCCAATTCACAAAATGATTGAACACTCATTTTATTCCCCTAAATATACACTGGACATCAGTTTCTCCCTTTGAAGCACTTTGACATCACTTTAGCTCTGCAATCATTAAAAGTAACATCAGCATTGTCCTTTGGTAATTGGACAATGAGAACAATGTTAATGGAATTTAAATTTGGGGATCTTATTGATCTCACTTTCTATTGTTGAAGGACTACATTGATGTCAACTTTCTCTGGAGGACATGTCTCATGTTTTTGTGAAGCTAAAATAGGAGTTTACTTTGTAAAAAACAACAACAAAGCCTTATCCCACTAGGTGATTTCAGCTTCATGGATCACATGACAGCTCGGTTAAAAATCAAAGCTTCATGAATATTATTTATCATGAGATCTCCGTTGACAACTTCTTCCAAAGTCCTTTTTGGCCTCCCTTTCCTCCTTTTCATAGGACTAAAAACCGTGCAATGTACACTTCTAAGTGGAACCTCTCATGGCCTTCTTTGTACGTGTCCAAATCGCCTTAATTGATTTTTCATCAATCGGTGCACCACCAATCTTTTCTTGTATATAGTCATTCAGTATCCTGTCTTTTCTTGTATGGCCACACATCCATATTAGCATTATCATTTTTACTACTCTCACCTTTCTCTCATGTTGTCCCTTTAAAACCCAACATTCACTACCATATAGTATATTGGACATATTATTTTACGATAAAACTTGCCTTTTGAGTTTAATAGGTATTTTGCAATCAGAAATAACCCCTAATGCCTTCTTCCATTTTACTTCCAAGTCATTTTCCTCTTGTTTCTTGCTGAAACTGGAATGCATGTACTCTGTCTTACACCTACTTAAGCTACTTAAGTAGTTTATTTTTTGAAAAATACATAAATTACTAATGATCAACATATAATTGTTATGGACAGAAAGGTTTTTACTCTGTTCATTATCTCCTTTGGTGTAAAATATTGTAATTTAGTTCTCCTTTTCTTATCTTGAGGAGGTATATAGGAAAATTACCATTAAATTTTTTTTTAGAAAAATATTTCCATTTTAGGAATGGTTAACCAACCAGTACCACGAAATGGTTCATCACTCTTAAATTTGAAATATTTTTACTAAAGCTTCATTGCTTCTAATCTTTCCAATAATATTTATTGCGTGTATAATTTTAAGGGTGTCATTAAAATGTTAAAAAACTCAGGTCACTAGCTGCTTATAACAGGCTATAGAAGTTCAATAGCTGTAATATTTGTCATGCCTTTTCATTGTGATTGTTTGGGTACAAATCTCACGCAGTAAGTGCCTAGACTCCATTGATAGGTGATTCCTCTTTCAGTTCAAAAGAAGTGGGCTCATCTGATCATTTGTTTCCCATCATTGCAGTGGCTCAAATACAGGTCAGATGCTCTCTGAAGTTCCGTTCTTTTGGCCAGCACTGATGATAGTTTCTTGTTCCTTTCAAGCTTGGGCTTCTGTAACCAAGGTCAGTCAATAAGAAGACGTAGATTTTTAGTTTAACTTGTTGAGGAGCATAATACTCTTTGTTTTTTCTTGTATGGCAGGAGTATATTTTCATTGATTCTGCCACTCGATTAAAGGTATGCTTTGTTTACCTTTTGGGGGAAGGGGGGTGTATATAAGGTTACTGGACGATAGATTCCATTGGCATTTTATTTGCGGGCATGCTTTGAAGTCTTTAAGATGTTCACATGCAGCACAAGTCACTGGACATATTTGTGGTCAATTCTTTTGGATCTGGGTTTCAGGTACGACTTGCTACATAAATTGCAATGAACTTATTGTACCTTTCAAAATCTGTAAATGGCATTATTACCAGTAATTTTTAGTTTTTCTTTCTTGATTGCTGATTTCTTGGTTGTTGTTTCATCTTGTGTAATTGAAGAATGATCATGAAACAACTTGTGTGAGTTCAAATTATATGTTTGCTGTCTAACTTTTTATATGATTTCAAAATGCATTACTTTTTTTGTCCCTTAATTACAAATAGCAAACGGTAATTTTTAGGATACATGGGTTATTGTTGTCTTATTATTTTGGAGTATTATTAGGTGCTATACTTGTACATATAGAGCTACATGCGAGCCCTAAACTATTAATATAAATTGGAGTTTTTGGTTAATATTTTATGTAATTTAGAGAAGAAAAAGATCTTTATTTTTGTACATTGATCAGAATTATATGAGGAGATTATATAGACAGAGATTATTAGAAGAAATCCTAATCACCTTGATTACAAAAAAAATGTAAAGATAAGATAAAGAGAAGAAAATAAAGGAGAATCAAATTAGATTTGAATAATCTAATATTGATCCCATCTAACTAAATCTCCTATAATAAAAGAGAATATAATCAAATCAGGGTATGCCTGATTTTGATCTTAGCAACCCAAATTTACAATTACATAAAAAATATATCCAGCTGTCAACATTTTATATTACGACATCCCACAAATTTATTAGTTAGATGATGATTTTTCTTCTTCGTTCGGGGTATTCACGGGGCAGGTTTACTTATGTCTTTAATTGGTCCGAAATTTTGATAAGGTCAATTTTGTGAACATGAACCTGATACGACCAAGACTCGACAATGTTTAGATAAGACTGGGTCAACCCAACTTATTCTCACAATATATTAATCTTAACATTATATATAGTTAAATTGGAAAATGAAATAAATTTATACCTACAATTAAGGTTTATTTTATTGTATATATTTTAAGATAAATGATAAATGATATTAATTTAAATATTACACCATGTTAGTCAAAATAATGTTAAGTCAAGCTGTGTTATTGATATATAATTATACTTTTCAAAATAATATATAATATTATATTGGATTGGGACAACACAAAGGCATAACCTAAACTAGTTATCAAAATACATCGGATATAATTTCTTAAATCTGAACTTGTGAAAGTCCCTTTAGGCTGGGCCAAGCCTGGTTGGTGGGACGGGATTGGTCATGAACAATCCTATTTTTCATCCAAAAACTATAATGGTAAAAGAGCATGAAGGAGAGGTTATCTAAAATTTGTCTCCATAGAGAAGAATTATATTGCTAATTCTAGATATTTGAATTCACTATTGGACTGTAGATCTTGCCACCGAAACATTGAAATTGAATATCTTTCATACAAAAAACTTCCACTCTTTAGTTCCCAATGCTGATAAGGCACCATGGGTTACATTATAGCATTTTGCTTCTATCTATGATGAAATAGACACGGATGAATTAGTAAGTATGCGTATGCCTATTCATTTATTTTAAAGTTCTGAGGCTCTGCTTGGCCTGTTTGCCTTCCTGCTTTTTTCATCTATTTTCTGTACACTAGACATGAATTTTGACTAAGGATGTTTGTGGATTGTATTAGATCAACGAAACGTCATTTGATCCAATCCAAAGTTTTCTTGTTTCACGGTCAAAACAGTTTATTTTAAAATTAAAATCTGAACCAATCCAACTTAATTAAAAGTGGTTTGGATTGGATCACTTTTTTCTTTTTTTTGGTTTTTTAGGAGACAGTAAATAAATCACAAGATATTGAATCAAATTTAAATTTATAAAAACTAATTCAAAGAATAAACTATAAATCATAACATAGATTTGATAATCACATTCATTATAAAATAAAAAATATATATATTGTAAATCCAGATTAGAAATTACTAGTCAAAACAATATTTAAAATTCTAAATCTGGTAATTTAATAAATAAACCTATATACACACACAGATTCAGGTTTTTGGTTTGGATTAGATGAATCTTAAAAGTAGAACAAAATACTGATCAAATCCAATAGAAAAGTTGGTTTTCTTTCTTCTTCTTTTTTTAGTTTGAATTTTGCTGTGATTGGTTTAGTTTATGACATATCTAATATTGATCAAAATAGAGACTTGATCCTCACAGCTTCCCTTGGTTGGCAGTGCATTTTTTCTTCTGAAAACGTTTTTATAAGAATTTTAGGGTTTGTTTGAAAGAGCTGATTTACAATTTGGGCTTATCTTATAACATAAGCATTTGTACAAGTGTTTGGAAGAACTTATGAAATAACTTATATCTATAGGTTGTTTTCAACTTATTTCAATAAGCTCTCTAGGATAGCTCATGAAAACAACTTGAAACTTATATGAAAATAATTTAACCCTATTCTTTTTTTATTGTAAAAAAAACTTATACAATAGTGCTTACATAGTAATTATTTAGTCAATAACTCCTTAATTAAGCTGTTTACTGAACCAGACTCTTAGTTTCATTATAGGTGCGCCAAGCACCTAGCTAGGGGAGGGAAGGGGGATAGGTGCACAATGCTGGCCTGCGTCCCTAATACTCTCTTGATGGCATTTTAATTTTATTTTGGATTATTTCTGTTTCATGTTTGTTACTTAAGTAATTATTGAAAGGTTCTCATGTTGTCATTTCAATTTTATTTTAGATTATTTCTGTTTTATGTTTATTACTGAAGTAATTATTGAAAGGAATATTTATGGTTCGTCTCTGATATTTATTGTAGGCTCTTTTCGTACTTCTGTCTCTACCTTTACTTTCTAACTTGAAAGGCATACCATTTGCTCAACTTCCTTCATATCTTAAAAGCGGTGCTGGTTGCTTTCTAAACCTTGGAGCTAATAAACCAAGTAAGCTCTAATAAATTGGTAGCAGTGCATTAACATATCTCCCACTTGTCTGCATATGTTAATAAATTGTTGTTAAAGTTAAAACACTATCAGAGTAGGTATTAGTATTATGAGTGTATGGTTCTCCAAGGTTCGCATCAATTGGTATCAAATTCTTCCACCGTGTCGCCCAATTGCAAACAAAGGATAGGTGGTCATGCTTAGGCTACAGATCATAATGTAACATTATGTTATGACCCAATTGCAAAGTATATAGGACTTGAGTTCTGCACCAGAAATATGGGATTTGATGTGGGTTTAATATGGCTTTGGCTTTCTTAGCACAATGGTTAGCTTTTGTGGTTCTCGTTAGGTTCATAACATAATGCAATACCCTACCTGTCCGTCTGGTAAGAAGCCGAATATATACATGACAATGATTTAACCTCATCTAGATATAGCATAACTTCGGCACTATTTCTTTTTAACCCATTTAGATAAAATTATATTAAAATTCTCATAATTGTAAGAAATCAATAAATTTCTATGTAGCTTTTATTTTCTATCCTTTTCTCTTAATTGAATAAGATTCAATATAAACCTATCACACAACCAAACCGATGAAAATTAAAATTTATTAGCTCTACCCTTTAGATGATTTTGATCCTTTTTTATCCCAATTTTTAATATATCCATATTCCTCTCCAATTTCCATGTCTCAGGTTGTGATGGCGCTCCCTTGCTTCCACTACTTTACGTAATTACCAATTTGGCATTCAACATATCCCTGCTTAATGCAGTAAAAACTTCTTCTGCAGTTGTTGCTTCTCTTCTAGTAATGTTGTCAGGTACTCATTATTTTTGTATCTCTTAAATGCTTTTTACGACATCCAGCGAAAATTATAACTCCTATGCTTTATTTGGGGGGAGAGGAAGGAATAGAAGAGAATAAGAGAAAATAAGAGAAAATTGATTTGATAGGAATAGGTAAGAAATAGAGTAGAATAGAATAAAATTTGTAGTTGGTTGGTACAGTGAAATTAAGTGAAAAATTTAGTGAAATTAGTATTTACAATTACTATTTTATCCTCACTTTATAATATAGTTTGAATTAATATTTTTTGTATTATATAATTTTACACATTTCCTAAATTCCACTAAAATCCCCTCAGGGGTTTTAAAAAATGATATGAAATCTACTTCTAATTCTTCACAATTCTCTTTAAATACCTTCTACTAAACATTTCTTTTTTCAAATTCACTCTAATTCATCCCTCTCCCTATTAAATCACCTCCACCAAACATAGGCCTAAGGTCTTTTGTACCTCTTGTTTATCCCATTGACCTTTTTATAGCTCATGTGTGCTTATTGTTTTTGCAGTGCCAATTTCTGTTTATATTCTTTCCCTTCCTTTACCATATCTTCCCGAGGCAACAAGCCTGAGCCCATTCTTTTTGCTTGGCTGTGCAATTCTTCTATGTGGTCTGTTTTTGTACAACACAACCCGACCTGCGAGGAACAGTTCTGAAGTTGACTGAAAAAGTTCCAGATTATGAAACCAATGATGAGGAGAACTAACAGCTAAGCATCATACCGCAAAGAATGTCAGCCTTGAGGCACTCTTGGCCACGGTGAAATATTCACAATCATTGCGATTATTCTTTTGAGCGTAAAATTTGTTCAGTTTCCACGTTTAAGGGTCACTTAGCTGCTTTATGGTGGCTGACTTCCTCATTCTGCCATTGGATTATTGTAACTTAAAATTGTGCATATATCTGACTTGTGCGAGTATATTTTCACGTACATTAATACATAGCCGACAAACGTAGTTGGTAAAATGCAGGTGCGGGCTTTTTTCAGTGGTCTTATTGGTTGGCTTTCTTACAAAATATGAAAATACAATATTTTGGCGATGAGATATCTTGGATTGATACTTTTCACGAGAAACGTAAATGATCGTAACCACCGCGTTGCCTCTTGGTCGCAGGCGATATTATTAAGTGATAAAAAAATTAACTTCAATTTTATAACTTCGTTTCTTAAAAAAAAGTAAACATTGTCATATTCTACGAATTATGTGTGTGATCATCTCGTGCAGTAGTTTTGTTAACTAACATGTAGCACAAATTATGTTTTAATACTAGAGGGTTGATTATCATCGAGCTCAATCAATTCGAGAATATCTTTGGTCGTGTACAGAAGAACCAATCGGTGGGCTACATTATTGATCAAAAAGAATCGGGGTCTGCATATTCACCCGTGAAATAAGTATTAAAAAAGCAAAAAACGTAAACTTCACTCGGTAAATATGAAGTTTAATATGTTCCCTCCATCTGAATATATAAAAGTGGATTAAAAAATCTACGTGCATCAAATAATTGGGCGCAAATCGGTAACAGACAAAAATATTCATTTCATCTTGTTGAAAATCTCCAATCTACAAACACACGGAGGAATGCACCAATACCAATCCTGTAGCTTTTACATTCCTTTCCATCGAATCTAATATTACTTCCTCCAACAGCATGCAGTGGTCTGTTTTCCAGAGAGCACTTCGGCCCTCCAGCTTTAAACCCAAATTTTCTTCCTTCAATGTTTCCTCTGAAAAGAAACCAAAGTTGTATTGTTAGTTTAAACTACGGAAACAGTACAATTCAACCCATTCACTCGCATAACAAAGGAAAAAGGCACAGCTTGAGGCAATATCTCTTCCATCCTTGCATTTAAAACTAAAATTGTCAGACAAACGTAAGGTACGGAAAAGCGTATATCTATTGAAAGGAATTCAAATTTTCAAATATATAGAATTTTGTAGCAATGAGCAAAATTATTTCAAGGCCATTTTAATTGTATTTCTTATTATGGTATCATAGCATCAGTTTTGATTATTTTGTAAGCTCAGCTCAAAACAATCTGTAAAACTGTTACAATATAGATAGTATAAATTCCCCATGACCAGAATTAGGTTCGAACATGAACATAACAATTATCAGACAAATAACCAACTCAACGTGCTTACTCCATAGAGGCAAAAATAAAAAATAAATAAATACAAACAGCAGGGTGTGAATTTACAGAGTTAAGGTTTCAAAAAAACACTTTGTTAGCTAAGCTAATTTAAGATTCTAATGAGTAGACATGTTGCTAGACGACAAGGGATCGTCTCAGAATAATATATCCCATACACTTAAATTAGAAAACAATAGATCTACATAATGCAAAGGATATAAGACATGACGTTTATTTAAATGGATTGTTTATTACACACACTGGACAAAGGATCAACAGAAATTTAAAGTATGTGGAAGGCAATAGTCAAATAATTAGGTTTGTCATATGCAATGTAGATGCAACAGTTCATAAACCACATCCACCGTAGTTCAACTTAAAAAAATATATATAAATGAAGCTCAAAAAAGTAATATATGATTTCAACATAACTTCAAAGCATAAAATGTGCATGCCTTTCGTTTCTTTAGTTTGTTGTTTCTGCTGCTACCAGTTCTAGAACCCATTACTTGCTCTCCGGTTTTATCTTCAAAGGGTAACGTTTTGATTTCATCATAGAAACTTTCTGTTAGACCTTGCAACCTGAAATAGAATAAACACAAACACTAAGTGGAAAAAGAAGTATTTAAATAAAAATCCTATCATACATTTAATGCATTTCTAAGTCTGTAGAAATATCAAGCAAACATTCCAAACACTTCCCATACCCATTTCTTGATTTCTTCAAGTACTTCTCTCGCTTCCTCTCATGTTTTGTGAGAGGAACACGAGTGAACAGCTCCTCCTCTTGCCGAGCACGTTCGTCCATCTTGGCAATATATCTATCAACTTCTATGCTAGCTCCCTCAAAATCTCTTACCTGGGTAGTGCAGTGAACAGCCAAAACAAATCATCACATAAGCTCATCAAATAATTATGATTAAACACTCAAAATAATGTTACCTCTTCAGGCCTTTCCTCCATATCATTCATCAATGTCCTGATATAATCACTCTGCTTAGCTTGTTTCAGAATTTCTTTCTCTCTTCGCGAGGCATTTCTTTCATGCTTTGAAGCTTTATCTAGATCCATAGACGTAGGGGCAAATTTTACAGGTTGATAAGAATCATTCCCATCCTGCAGCATACAAGCAAAATGTTAGATAGGCAAAGGAAAAATATCTTTTGCATGATCTTACCACCCTGCATTATACCAAATTTTACACTGTATAATATCAAATCTACACTCACCTGTGAGGCTAAGTCTAATTTGCTAACAAGCATGTCAGGATTTGGATGATACTTTGACACGTCTTCACTCTTATTGGATGCAGCTGTCTCCTTGCCCTGAATATCACTTCTGGTTGCATTTTCACTGGCTTGTGTTAGTTTCTGGATTTGGTATTGTTGCTTTTTGTCAATTGGACGAATCTGCAATGGAAACCACGATGTCAAATGCCTAACACACATTATACTTTGAAAATATACACATGTAACCCTTGATGATTAACACACAAAAGGATAAAACCAAACCTTTTCCAAATATAATCTTATCTCCACAATACTTCGAACAACAGGATGATCTTCAATCGGTAATCCCTTGGCCTTCCGCAATAAATAATAAACAAGGGACTGACAATAATTCAAAAGCAGCAGATTTTTAGCTTCAAGGTAGCTAAATCCATCTGCTGTCGGATATTGACCTTCTTTCACCTGGCATAAGAAACATGCCAGACATTAAATAAGAATCAATTTACTCAATGCTATTAGGATAAGTATATATCACCAATGTTATTTACTTATAACAAAATTCAATAGTATTCCAGAAAGGCCAACGTAATAGCAGTAGAAAAAAGTATCAATAAAAAAACAGGGTATGAACCAAACTTAATGTCCAAACTACATAAAGATTTTGAGTTGGAACATTAAGAATTTGAACATAAAGTAAATATTAGCAGCTTTTAGGAATGCTTAAAAAAGCAAAAAAGAATAGAAGCGAAAAAAGTATGTCACCTTGGCAGTTAAAGATTGAATTTTACGCCTTACGGTATCAAGTCCTTCCTTCATTTCTTTCAACAGCACAGCAAGCTGAGACGCTTCTCTGTGAACACAACAAAGAAATTGAATAAATTGACCTAACAAAGTTCCAATTTATTGTTCGCATATTTGAAAATTTGAAGCAAACAACAATTGATTCACGCGCAAGCACGGAAGAGAAATAATTAAACGAACTTACTCTCGCTTGCTATTATCGTTATTCAAATCGTTCGCAGTAGTTTCCATGATTTTCCACAATTGTCAACAATCTCTAATCCTGCATTTTTATTTTTGAGAAATAATACTAGTTATTAGATAGTCAAAAACCGAGATGAAAGTTCGAAACAGCATAAGTTGAACGATTGATGCAGAAAAGATAGGTAGAGAGAGATTGAGAAAGAAGTAACAACCACAGGCGGAGGTAGCGGAGAACGAGAGACGTTAGACGTGGCTTGGCGGTGGAGGGTGTTCGGAGTGAGATACTGCGGCGGAAGAAGGTATTTGCTAGAGTATGGGGGCATGACGGGCCATGCTATTCGAATTCCAATGGGCCGTTATTTGGGCTCACCGGTTACCCCCTTAAGGTGTTTGTTTTGCGATTTAATGTTTCATTTTTTTAGAATCACATTCTTATGAACATTTTAACCCGAATATTCTGAGTATATTTAAAAAAAAAAAACTTGTTTTGTTACATTCTATTATTCTTAGTAATATTTTTTAAAATTGAAAATAACTCAAATAAAAGTAACAATAAAAAATTATAAATGTGTTAGAAAATGACATCTCCTATTACTACAGAATATCACTTTTCAATCCACCTATCATAAGAATAAAATCTCTCTAAAATATGAAGATATTTTTTTAAAAATAAAAATTTCTGAAATTTTTATTCCATATCCTTCTAACTAAAAAACATAAGAATAATTATTTCCATTTTATTTCAGTTAGACATAAGAAAAGTTATTTCAATTTTATATTCATTTTATTAGAAGGTTATGGAATAAAAAATGCACATTCTTGTATTCTTTTTTGTGTGATTTTGTTTTAAGAAGAAGAATAAAAAAAATGTGTTTAAGACAATGTAATATTGTATCTTAAAACAATGTCTTTTTAATATTTTTAAAGAAATGGTAAATGAAAATATAAATATATTTAATATATTGAAATCATAAAAATAACACTTTTTATTAAATAAAAATTAATTAGTAGACAATATAGGAAAATTTAAAAATCTTTTAAAAGTTTTACTTTTTATTTTTAAATATGTTTGACGGGTCTAAGAAGGTTTTTCATCCCGAGAAAAATAAAGAAAATAAGAAACACAAACACTATTATAATAAATACTAGTATTACTTATTAAAATCATGCAAATGTTATGCAAGACACAATAATTAATTATTGTTTTGCTGATTCATGGGAATCAAAATTGGTACCAAAAAGGAGCTTTGAATTTCATGTATGATGTTCAATTAACTAAGTTTAGGATGTTATGAGTTTGAGTTGTGTAACAATCTAGTATGTTATTATATTTAATATAGCACTATTATTACAAGGTAGAAAATATAAAATAATCAATGTAAAGATTTTTATGCAATAATAGTTGGATATTTATGTAACACACAATGTGTGTAGTGACGGATCCATAAATTTTAGATAGTGGGAACAATATTTATTTATATATTTGTAATATTAAAAATTTTATGTATAACTTTGAAAGGCATAAATAAATATCATAATTATTTTTTACAAGCTTTTATATCTATGATTACAATTAAAGATAAAAATAAATTAGGTCAGACTAGATTTTATTATAAATTAGTATGTTTGAACCTAACTTTCTTTAAAAATATATATCATAAATATAACTTATTTATCTATCATAGACATCTTTTAAATATTTGGGTAGAATTACAATGCTAAAAACCTACTTTATAATAATTTAATACTATTAAAAATATAAAAATAAATATGTTAAATTTTATATAAAATATATTTTATAATAAAAATTCTAAATAAAACATAAATCTTTCGATTTTTCTTATTTTGATATTTTTAATCAACGTATACAATAAATAAAAAACACAAAAGATAAACATGCATACTGCAAATTTTATTTTATCAAAAATTGATTTTTTAATATATTACATTAAATATGTGAGTATTGATATATATATATATATATATATATATATGTATGTATATTACAATTAATTTTAAAAAAATTAATTTGTTATTAAGGAGTATTCTTTATCACATAAAATAATTAATCTCCTTTAAAAGTTTGACAAACATCAAATAAATAAACATTTTCTCCGAATCTATATTTTATACATATGATAATTTAAACATATTTATTTATTTTATTAGAATATAACTTTAATTTTTTTAAAATATATTAATTTTTTAAACAAAAAATTAATTATGTCTCAAATAATAGCGGGGGCAAATGCCCCCACCCTCCAAAACCTGTATCTGTCACTGCGTGTGTGTATATATATACACACACATAAAGCAATTTTTTGTCAATATAATAGAAAAATATAAAGTCTCTTATGAGGTTATATATAACTCGTGTACATATATACAATATACATTAATATACCTTATTAAATACAAAATAATCTTATCACCGATCAAATATATATATACAACAATACTACATCAAAGTAGTGTACTCAAAAGAGGTCATCTCTAACATAACCATCCACCAACAACTAAGTCATCCTAATTAATTTTACCATGCTCTCATACTAAATAAGATGATTGCAATCCAACAAGAAGAAGAAGAAAAAAAGGTAAGTTTGTGAATGAATCATCATAATAAGAAGTAGTGAAATCACAACTTAAGTAACATAAATGGCTTAAAACATCAAGTTATTATCATCATCCACAATATACAACAGCTAGTACAACATACATCACGTACAATATTCTTAGCATATACAACTTTAATCACATCTTAAACAACTTTCAACAATTAATGTGTCGTTATACATATTAATTTATGGAGATCTCATACAATTGAGGTGAGAGCAACTCTAATGGGAGTTTCTTGTCCCATGAAGCAACTCAAGCATCGATTTCTTGTCATTAGAGGACTTTGATGTGGCAACATGAGTTGCTTGAAGAAGAGAGAGAGTTGCTTCCTCAAGCAACCGTTCTTTACCAGATTTCAAGTAGATCTTATTTTCGGAACATTTCAGAAATAATAATGATGAAAATTAATTTCGTATAATGTCTATGTATTTACTATTGCTTTATTTTATTTTTAATATCTTCTCGTAATTTATTTTCTTTCATTGTAGTACAATTATCTTTTTTAATAAAAATTTAAAATTGGTACATAAATGATTAGAAAAAAATTCTAAAAGTTGAATTTCTTAAAGTTTCTTACCATTTGAGTAAATTTGTGTTTGAGTTGCTTAATACTAACATGGTACACTAGGGACCACTTTTTTCATTTTTCAATGCATGAAGCAACTCAAATGAGTTGCTTGCATTGGAGATTCCCTGAGTAGTTTAAGTGACTTAACTTATCGAATCATTGTGTCTAACCTATCACAATCAGATCAAGTAGATGTAACTTCAAGACACTCAAGCACTTGTTTAACAACTTAAATTGATTTCTCAAGTTTTTTCAATTAAACTAAGAAAGTATAGTACTACTATCAAACTATAATAACTTGGGTGAGAGCCTACCACAACCTTAACATGCATATATTAAGCCTTGTGGAATTAGTCCATCGATTATCTTCTAAATACTATGAATCTTTATAGCGATCAGTTAAGGATGTTAACCCTCCACTTTTTGCCTTACTCAATGTTGGTTGCTTATGACATGTATGGTTTGATTTGGTCTCCATATGATTTTACGTTGGCCACTTTATAATAAATATGACTTGACCTAAACCTTATATTGTTTCCACATAAACCCATATGAGACAATTTAAAAACAATGTCTCATTTAAGAGGAAACTTTCTCATTAAAGGGTTTTCAATTTTGGACTCTCGGAGCACCATAACTTATCCACACAATGACATTTTAGTTTTTAAAACAGCTTCCACTCTCCTCTAGTTTTTATGTATTTCAACTTTAAATATGCATCTCAACACTACATGCTTATACAACTTAACATCTTTATTCAACTAACAACTTAAACAAATAATAAACTTTCATTCTTAAGCAACTTAAACATCATTATAGATCATCCTAGATCAATGCATAATGACCTAGATTCATACAACATCATAAATCATGTGAATAATCAATCTACTAAACACATGTTCAACACATTTTCAAATACACACCAAATTTTCATTAAGTAACCTATGCCTAACGTCATTCTCGCAATGCCCGATGTCATCGAGATAGAAAGTCTTTGGCTTGTGTAACGTAGTAAGTTATTTCAAAAGGCCCAAAAGTCTAATATGAGTGATTTAGTAGCTCAGAACGGGCCGTTCCTAAACTGGAACGAGCCGTTCCAAACTACTAAATTGACTTGTAAATCGTAGTTGAGAACAGGCCGTTCTGGAGGGAGAATGGGTCGTTCTAAACCCCAAAACAGGGCGTTCTTGAAGAAGTACGGGCCGTTCTAGATGGAGAATGAGCTTTTCTGGATGAGTCCCAAAACGGGCCATTCTGATTTCAGAATGAGTCGTTCTGCATGTAATTTTTGTACGTGATGAAGGGGTGCAGAACGGGCTGTTCTGGATTCGGAACAGGCCGTTCTAGCCACTCTGGAACTTCTATAAATAGGGGTTGTGTGGTTGAGGAGAAAGTGAAGTTTTTAGAGAGAAGTTTTAGAGAGAAGGACTCTGGGTCTGTGAGCTCCTTTCTCTTCCCAATTTCTCTGTATAATTCCTTTTCTCCTCTAGATCACTAATGCCTTCTGTCTTTTCTTGAAATTCAGATTAGGAAGCTTGCTTTGGGAGGATTGAAGTTCCGGGTTGAGCTTCGGAAAGGAATTCTACTTCTTCTCAGTTATTGGTTATTTTGAGCCAATCTTCAGGTGAAGAAAACTAGAACGTTTGCTTTTTAGGTTACATGTGAGTTTAGAAACTCAATTGATGCATGAATGTTGAGAATCCATAGATGGATTGAAGAAAAACTCATTTTTTGGGGTGTTGAGAAAAAGGAGGATTTTGATGATTTTGATGCATAGGTTGGATGCATGTGAGATTTAAGTTTATTTTGAGTTGTATGGAGCCTATGCATTGTGTTTTGTGTTTGCATGTGGCTGGATTTGTTGGTTTGGATGAGAGTTTTGAAACTCTCTGACTGTGTTTAGGCTAGGCGCAGGTTGAGCGCGCCAGGCGTGGAAAAGCTTAGGACTCTCGGGTTAGATGTTGGGCCAGGCGTGATTTGGTTGCGTCAGGCGTGGAGACTCTTAAGAGTCTCTATCTCAAGGATACCGAGCGTGAGTTGAACGCGCCGGGTGTGGACGAGTTTTAGGACTCTCAAGTTGGGATTAGGCTGGGCGAGCTTAGGCTGCGCCGGGTGTGAACATGTTTATGAATAAAATGATGCTAATGCATGTTAAGTTGAAGTTTTGGATCATGTATGTATGATATATGATGTATGCTG